AGACCCGAGTACTGTCCTCGTTTAATGTATATATATTTACGGTGCTTATAGAAGAAAAATCAGGTTAATTTCAAACAAAATATTTTAAATATCGATTTTATTTCAAGCACCCAGTTTTATAGCAAATTCTTGTGATTATGATAATAGTTTTGTGATGTATTGAACAGTTTTGAATACATCCGATTCAGAGTTATATTTTGTTATGCAATCATGTATTTCCAAATTGCTCTAAAACTTTCAAAATTACTTCAATATGAAATTGCTTAAATAGTCATAGTCGTGACCTATTTTTTTATAATTGATGTCTATTTAGCATGAAAAGGAAATATTTGATGCCTGACTAACTAAACAATGCTTCGACGTAAGACATTTCTTAAAAACAGAAGGTATGGTAAAAAGTTGAAAAAAAAACTTATTTCTTTGCTACTCTTAATGTTTCCTTCTCAGCCAATATTTCTTGGAATTTCTAAATTTATTGAATAGTTTGGTATGCGGCGCCTAACCTTGACAAGGCAAACTATTTTTGTGATTCATGAATAATTTTATTACAATTGCCGGTTCTGCTATTGGCAGCAGACGAATTTTCTAGCGGTGGGTGAGAAAGTGACGTTTTCGCAAAAATTCTTTTGCTATGGTCAAAAGGAAATAAGACTGTTTCCAATGAACTTTTGGTAACTAATTATACTTTGCAATATAAAGCTTTGTATGCACTTGGGTAGTTTAAGAGAAATTGTATTGCATCTGTTATGGGCGGAAAGATGTGGCTACTTGCCTACTTTGTAAAATTTATTTTAGAATATATTATATTTTCGTAAATTAGTTAAACAAATATTACATTTGTTTTATTTAAGAGTTAATTCTTAGCATAAGCTGGACTAAATAGAACAAGCTTTTGCTTCTGATATGAATACTGCGCCTCTCAAGGTTATGATTAGGATCAATGACAGGTCCGCTTATATGAATATTAACCGTATGCTCATCTAAGTTGACTGGAAATCAGCACTGGTTCGTTCAAATTAAGCATAAATTAATGATGCACAACATACCCACAAATCAAAGTAAACTCTGCAGATCTTTGAGCTTTGACCGAATTTTATTTAACTCCCATTGAATTTAATTTCCACGTCACGATTGTTTGTTGACACATTTGACCCTAATGTGGAAATTTGGATCGTTTTAAGCTGATCGCAACATCTTATGAGTAATGTCAATACCCTGTATGATCCCCTGCTACTGGACTTAACTTTTAAAATTGGAGCCCTGTGAATATATAAGAATATCCGAGAACATATATCAAGATAGAGCAAAAAATTCACTTTCATATGTAGGCCACTTTTCAAGCCCTTGTCTTCTTGCTGCAGACATGCACTCCATCATGGCATGATTATTCGCTGACCATTTCCACTTTACGGTTAAAATTCTTAAGAGTTCGTATCATAAATGTGGCCTTTGGAGCGGCTAGGAAATAACAACCAAAATACAGATGTTGATGCATTTGATCTTCTAAATTTAAGCGATCTTCATAAAACAGATATATTTACGTTCTGTTAAGCAGATTCTTTTCCGCATATAAAAGTCCGGTCATAATTGTGATCTCTATAGGAAACAGGAAAAAATTGTTTTTGGTATTTTTATGCCCTCCACCAAAAGGGTGATATTCAAAATATATAAATTTAATGGGGGCTCCTAGGAGAAAACTCATGTTATCATAGGACCTTGAATATATCGAAAAGAAGTGAGGTTGGGGCTATATCAACGGACGTGGGGATGGGGTTTTTGAGTAGTGAAATTTGACAGCCATTGAGTCAAATCGGTTGGAAAACGTGTCCAAAATTGCCGACATTGGTCAATATTAATCATTTTTATTACATAGATGTAGGGGTACCGTTATATTGGTGCTACAATCAAACTTGGTACAATATTAATAATTTTTAGTAAGGATGTGCTATGCAATGAGAACCCAAAATATTTAATTACAGCCAATCCGGTTGAAAGACGTGTCCAAAAACCCGAAAATACGAATATTGCGTGGTACCGGTATATGGTGGCTACCCTGAAACTTGGGTCAATATTAATCATAATCATATGAAGATTTGCTATACAATAGAAACCAAAATACCAAACTACTGCAAATTCGGTTGAAACATGTGTCGAAAATCGCCTAAATACTAAATATGGGGGTACCGTTATATTAATATTTATACCCTTCACCACACTGTGTTACAACAGGATATTATGTCTTTGTGCATATGTTTGTAACAGGCAAAAGGAAACGAGATAGACACATGGTTCCTTTTGAGAATATGCATAGAATCACTTTCTAAGTCGATTTATGCATGTTCGTCCTTCGGTCCGTCTGTCTTTCGATGTTAAATTGTAAACAAAGTACAGGTCGAATTTATGATCCGAATTGGATGAAATTTCGCGTGACCTATTATTCGGCCCAAGGACGAACCCTATTGAAATTGGGGAAATTGGTTCAGATTTACATAGCTCCCATATATATTTTCGTCCGATCTATTGTAAACGGTCCCTATATATCTTTCAATTTGCACGACATTTGGTACAGCCTAATAATTTAGGTCTAGAATGGTGTGTGTTAAGTTTCGTGGAAATCGGTTAAGATATAGATATAGCTCCCATATATATTTTCGTCCGATTTAATGTATACCGAAATGGTATACCAAAGCCCCTATATATCTTTCGATTTACACGAAATTTTGCATGGGGTACTGAATTGGGTCTAGAATTATGTGTATTAAGTTACGCGAAAATCGGTTCAGATTTGGATATAGCTCCCATATATATTTTCGTCCGATTTAAGGTAAATGGTGCACCGAAGTCCCTATATATAAATTTGTATAACCTAACCTGTGACAAGTTTCGATGAAATAGGTTTAAATGTAGCTTTTATATATATTTTCGTCCGATTTTAAGTAAATGGTGCACCAAACATCTCATGTTTATGAGATATTTATCCAAATAATCAACGGGTGTCCGAATGATATTTGCTTTAAATTGATTTACAATGATAGGATTCATATGAGAATATACTCAAAGTGGTACCAAAAACCTTACTGGTTTTTGGTACATGCATGTGCTATACAATAAGTACCCAAAATACTAAATTACAGACGATTCGGTTAAAAAGAAATCGTATCAATAACCTTCAAAAAATTGACTATTGGGAGGTACCGTTATATGGTGCTTACACGAAAACTTCGACCGGAATATATCGGTACCAACCTTACTAGAAATACTAGCAATGTTTGTGCAAAATGTCCGAGCTCTATCTTAAATATTGCGATGTCTATCAGACAGATACTCATAAACCGACATAGAATTTTATTCTGATCAGAAATATATTATATACTCTATGGGATAACCGGAGAATATTTCGGGTTGCAAAGGTGTTGCAAATAGAATGACAAATTTAATATACACTCCACCTCACGGTACAGGGTATAATAATAGGTGCAGGTAAACCCGAATCTGCCTGCAGCATTTCGTGGAGCCTGGTCTGTAAATGTCGGTTAGTGCATTGATTACAAATTAAAATGGAATGACGGACGGACGAACACACACGTATAAATCGGTTCAGCTACTAGGGATATGTCGATCTGTTTCTAAAACGTGAGTCTAGGACCAATATATCGTGGCGTTACAAACTATTGGGGCCACAAAAACGTATGTCAATTCACAGTGGCATGACATACGACCCATCAACTTCACATTTTGACCGGCCAAAATCTTTGGTGTACCACTCAGAATTGGCCCTCATATTTTGCTCAAGCAGAACAGTCGCCACATGTCCACTTTTGCCGAAGAAACCGGTCTTGCATTATCAGTTCACGTATGACATTAATTTTCCCTGGCACCACTGACTTTCTTCGACTATGAGATAGGATCGGTGCAGTTCACTTTCGGTATTTTGAGGGCTTAGACTCAGCTCCCACCAAAGTGGCTGTAATTTAGTGTTCTGGATTTTTATAGACTGACACACATCTACGCAAAAATAATTAATATTGTTACATGTTAGGATATAGTCCCCATATATAGCTCTCGCCCAATTTTCAACTTTTTGAAAGTTTCAACTGGATTTCCTTGCCAAATGGGTTGTAACCTGGCAAACCGGTTAATGGAGGGTGAAAAATATTTTTTGCAGAAAATTTTTAGTTTTGCTTATATATTTATCAACATTCAAATGTTCGTAATAAATTGAAAGTTTTTTGCAAAAATATTTCCACCCTCCAATAACCCGCTATGACAGGTTACAGCCACTTTGGTGGGAAAATCCAGTTGAAACTTTAAAAAAGTTTTATACAGCCCAATCTTATATATGTCTGGATCCCTTTTCCGGTTTGCAATATTTTCCCACGTAAGTGATTGTAATAAAGGTTCCTCCTCATTGTTGTATGTTTTATCCGCATTTTGGCTATTAACGTGGTTGAATTGAATAAATAAAATAAATAAATAAAAATAAAATAATTTGTATTCTTGAATTGGGAAAAATATCATTGCCGAAATCCCCATCTAAAGAAAGACACCATCAATTTCCGGATTCCTGGTGTGTATAAAATTGCTTTACCGGAAATTTTCAACATACATTTCCCTGATAAGTCCCGCTTTCCAACACCAAATCGGACGTAACGTTATATGGGAGATATCTCAAAAAATGAACTCATACTGAACATTTTTTTTTTAATTTTGTCATCAACTAAACCCCCGCAGGGCTTAATTATACACATCAATTAAATAATGTGTTCAGGACCATCAACATACCAAAAAGGGGTCTATCACGAATATCTCCAGATTTTGCAAAGGGAATGGAATTTAATAATATCCACTTGACCTTTTAGTGAAGGATATACAATTTTTGGTTGGTTTCAATTTAACTTTAATGTATCCTCATATCGTTAATATTTAGTTTTACTTTAAATATAAAATTCATTCCCTCCTTTGTCCATAAATGTACACGTGTGTAATACATTTCATTTCGAATTCTATCCCTTCTGTTATTTATAGGCTTGGCTGGATTACGACTCATTAAAGTTTCTATACCCAGTTATAAAATGCGTGGTGAATCAACATTTATGGAATGCCAATATGAATTGAATAGATCGAAAAGTCTTTATGGCGGATTACATCGAAATCGAAATCATCACAGTCATGGCCAATATCAGCAACAGCGTCATCAGTATCGGCAGTATGGTGGCGGCCATACAGGAGGCAGTATACATTATGATGATAACGATGATATGCCACAATATAGACGTACCCATACATATCCCCAGCAAACGTATAAGCAACAGAGACAGCAGCAGCAACAACAGCAACAGTATCAATATCAACACAGGCAACCTTATTTCCAAGCACAAATCCAGACACATAAAGCTCTGTGGCAGGATATGAACAACATTAGAAGTAGAAGTAGTAATGGCGCAACTTCTTACCACCAGCCACACTTGCAGTATCCATTTTTGCCACAAAAACAAAAACGTCAATACAATCCAGAATATCCAACACTACCGCCCTCACCATATGGCCACAGTGTATATCGAGGGAGATCTCAAATGTCCTCCAATTCATATTCGCCGTCGTTATCATCCTCCTCACAGTCTTCCCCCTCTATAATATCGTCGTCGTCATCCTCCTCCGGTAGCCATACCAGCAATTATGGTGGTCGTGTTGGAGCCAGCACTTACACAGGTAGATCGTCGTCATCATCCTCGTCGTCGTACCCTGGTAACCCCAGTTCAGGTGTTTTCGGCAGTAGTGGTAGTTATGGACATCACGATGATAACTTTGCCGATAGTAATGAACGTAAAGAACACATTGGCGACGACGACGACAACTCCCACGAAGAGGATGAGTTCGATAACGAGGCAGACAGCGACGCCGACGAGGATGAGGAGCACGACGAGGAGGAGGGCGAGGATTTGTATGCCATTAAATGGTACAAGGATAATGAAGAATTCTATCGTTTTGTGCCAAAAGCGAATCCACCAAAAACGAGTTACAGAGTTGATGGCGTACGAGTTATTGTAAGTATGAATTATTATTGCTTTTACGGTTCTATGGTTGTTGCACACACACACACAAACACACACTCGTATTTTAGATGGAAAGGAAATTACATTTTCAAGATAAAGCACGAACATCCCCTTTACTAAAGGATAGGTACTTGTACGCAAACACTCACTCACACAAACGCACGCACACACACTCATACCGACACTCACTACACTCACATGCATTTGGAGAATTGCTAGCTCCAGGACATGCAAACAAAAACCACCTGCTCTCAATGCATCCTCCAAAGTTCCTTTGTTACGAGAACGTTTTATTTATCTTAGCATCCGGTATGTGTCCAGAGATTATTGCTCTCGGGCGGGCATAGAGTGCGGTGCAGTTCATGTCAGAATCACTAAGCAAAAGTATAGAATTATATGGTACATTCTTTTCCGTTTTCTTTTTTGAGGGGGCGGAGGGGCAGTAGTTGCCAAGAGCAGTCGAAATAACATCCACAAAAATATTTCCTATACCTTTGTCATGGACAAAGTAATGTGCACTTCTATTGGAGAACTATTTCATTATTGTTGTCATTCCGCAAATCCGAAAGGAAAAAAATCGAAATTAATGTATTGTCATGTTTTTCATATTTTGATTATATATCCATTTATAAATGGGAAATATTTTTTTTGGATTCACATAACCAATATTATTATGACACCTTTATGAAATGTTAGCAATAAATTAAGGAAATGGTGGATCATTAGTTTTAAATTGAAAAAAGTTTCATTATTGGGTTGAACTGTTTTTTCATATTCGGAATTTAATTAGTGTATTTTATTGCGACCATCGCGAGATGCTCAATATTCTTTATTACGAAGTTTTATACGCTTCACAACGAATTTGGTAAACAAAGTAATAGACCAAAGACAACACCTATACCTATCGAGGTGTCTATGGTTTACAGGTGTCTACCTATTTTGATATTACTTTTACCAAACTAGAAATATCGCGTTGATCGCTATGAAATTTTACACAAAGTTCCAGTTATGGATAAGAGTGACATGTATAGCATTCATTGGTGATCACATGCTATTTTGGCCATGAAATGGACCGAAAAACTTTATTCTTGTTGCTTTATCTACTTATTATAGAGGCCGAACATCATAACTTTTATACGTAGAAGGGAATGGTAAAAATGTATTTGAATACATAAAGATGGAGAAGAAAGTAAATTGACAAATATGTGTTATTTTTTTGAAATTAAAAAAAAATCTTTCGCAGACATATTGCGGTCACTGGAATATCCGAATTTCAAAATTTCAACGCAATCAGAAGTAGTAGATATATGACTTTTGTGTGAACTAGTATTATTGTGTTCGCTCAAAATTGGGAACATTATTTTAGGAAGTTCCGTGCCGGAACCTTTTATGCCATCCATCAGTGAAAATTGGCATTGAAAAATTGCAGAAACTGGTTGTTAAGAATATTTAAACAAGGAATGGAATGTCAACTTACAGACACTACGGCAGAAAAAATGCGTCTAAAATCGTTAAAATGCCGAAAATAAGGCGGACCCATTTTTATGATTTGGCTATATCTTCTTCTACTTCTGAAAGGATATGTTCACCCTAAAGGGGACCCCCCATTCTCGGTTTCAAAAAAAAAATAATTTTGTAGTTTGATTTAATCCGAACCTACACTAATTCAAGAATGTCCCTATTAATTTTCAAATGAAAATCTCCACAATGAGATTTTATTGTGTTAGCATCAACTGACAGCAAGAAGGCCCTTCAAAATTTAAACGCGTATTTCTCCAAACATCGTTTTTGCGAATTTAAGTTTTGGGACGTTACTCTGAGAGTGCGATGATCTTCCTTATTCCTTTACTTAGTTTGTGGTCAAAAAATCGGCGATTTTCCAAAAATCAAAGGTCCGCCATTTTATTAATTTTAGAGCGAAGTCAATAATCCTAGTTCATACGAATTTGGAATTTTCGGATTCCGATGTTCCAGTGAGGAGTTAACATGCCCGCCATCAAAAATAAGGACTTTTCTTTAATTACAAAAAACAACAACAAAACAATAAATGTTTTTTAATTATTTTTCTTCTCTTTTAAATCTTCAAATATATGTGTGCAAAGTTACAAACCTCAACTAACATTGGTATTGATTTACCAACCCATTGAAAATCTTGAAAAATTAAAATCGGGATTGGGGGGGGGCTCCCTTAAGGGACCCACTTAGTGAGAAAATGCGGCTGAAGCCTTCAATTAAAATTTAAAAATATGTGGTGGAGCTCTTATATGGAAGCTATATGTCAAAATACCTCTAGACCTCTTTAAACATGTACGTATAATTCCCGCATCCAAGTACATACAAAAGTCAACCACTTCCACCAAAGTCAACCAAACTTCCACAGTATATATCCTTTAGGAGTGTATATATGCATCCATAGAATGCAATTTTTGTCATTTTTCACAAAGTCTAGGTCCTGCTATATATTGTCATACAAACAAACATGTTGATTTGGCTATGATATTTGGGTCAAAACAATGGTCAGTAAAAAAAATCAAAATTAATGTTTTTGGTCCACTTCATTCTTAGCTAGTCGAAATATGGCCGGAATACTAAAAGGCTGACCTTGGACCAATACGCATTCACAGCGTTACAAACTATTGGGCCACAAACAACTGTAATATCCTTACAACATGGGGCGGAACCTTTATATGGAGGTTAAGTTGAAACATATTCGTCCTTAAAGAATTAATTAATGTTTAAAAAAATCTCCCTAAAAAATCCGGCGGTCATATGGATAAACAGGGATACGGATATTGCCAAGTCGATGAATATTTCGAGGAGTTGCAAACGGAATGACCAATTTCAACACACCCCACCTTATGGTGGAGGGTATAAGAAATCAATGGTTGAGCTATGCCTATAATACCCACTATTGTTGTTGTTGTAGCAGCCCTATTGATTTTACACAATGGGCTAAGGTAACAGACATTGGCCGAGTAAGACTCGGGTCGTTTCGGATCGTAGACCCCTCTGTCGTGGAAACGTATACCCACTATTGCCTTCTTGTGCTGATAGTTCGAATTGTTATGGTGTACAATGATTTTTTTTCTCTTGTTGGCTATCAACTTTTTCGAAGATTTTAGGCCCAAAACTAGTGGTGTACCACTACGTTGCGGATTTACATTCAAGTGCTTCTTGTATAAAAATTTTAAAGTCGGTTTAGATCACATATTTAATTTCGTCCTATTTCATGTCAATGATCCACCAACGATTAATACTACGAATGTCTGCACTATCTTGCATAGTATTATATATTCCTAGGAAAATCCGGAAAACATTTATAGGGTATGAAACAAATGATTTTTATTAGCTTGTTTGACATATTTTGATATATTTTAAATATTTACAACGAATTCTTTAGTTCTCCATAATCTGCAATTTATACGAAATTTTTTATTGTACGTACTGTTTCCATGAAATAAGTTCCAACCACTCTTTCAAACGAAAGAGCGCACCAAACAGTGACTTTCTTCAATTACTTGATGATTTCAGAACCCCAACTTCACAGAATCACAGTTTTTGTAGTAGGTTTTGATAATCTTAATGTAATTTGAGACAGCTATGAGCACCATAATCGGCAATGCCAGACTTTCGTCTCAAAATAAGAAAAAAAATGGCTTAACAACTTATTTTGACAGACGTCATATTCTAGTCCCATATTTTGGAAACCACGAAATGAATAACTCTTTTTCTTCAAAAATGTTAAACTTACCAAAAAATGCTTCAAGCCCTTTTATCTCCAAAATTAATTTTGCACTTTTGTTCTTTCCATACTGATAAATTTTTGCTTCTCTCCATTCAATAATATTTTCTTTTATTATTTGTGTCATTCCAGGAAGAACATTCAGACAGCTCAAGAGTCCTCTTAAGAGGTCTAACAATTAATTCAACCGGATTGTATCGTTGTGAAATATCAGCGGAGGCACCCAGTTTTGCCTCTGTACAGGGTGAAGGACAAATGGATGTTGTGTGTAAGTATTTTGTATTTGCATAGCGTAAATAAATATCACGTTTCCCAGAAATTTGTCTTATATTTAATAATAGTTTAATAAGCATTTCATTGTTACCTAAGTCATCTTATGTCAGTGATAAGGGTCGACAAAAACACTTAGTGCAAAATGTGGCCACAGAATGTGACATATTATGTAATAGAAATTTTTGGATATGCAAATTTTTGGGTGCGTGATTTTAAGTGAGAAAAAAAAAAAGATAGATGAGTTTAAAATTGCGTTTCAAGAAAATAGGGACGAAAAGGATATACAAGGACTAGAGGTTGATGGAGGGAGGATATTTATAAATGTTAGAGATATCAGCAAAAAAAAAAACCGTAAGGAAAGTAGTAAAGTCGGACGGGACCGGATATATGATACCCTTCACCACTATGGTTATAATAAACAGGACTATTTATTTATTTATCTAAATGTGAATCCTAGATCAATCCATAAACATGTCATTTGCTTGTTACTATGGGACAAAATTATGTAAATCGATTTTAAGCAAATATCAATTGGGCATCCGTTGGGCTATGTCTGTATTTCTAGACAACGCAATTACGTAATTCTATGCCCAATTTTGTACGTTGTGCAAAATTTCATGTCAATCTGGCAAACATGAGGAGTTTTATGCACCATTTACTTAAAATCAAGCGAAAATATATATGGAAGCTATATCCAACTATTAAGCGATTTCAACGAAACTTGTCACAGGTAAGGTTATACTAATTTCAGTACGTTTTGTTCCTATTGGTTCCTTGGTGAGTCAATTACTTAAAATCAATCGATAATATATAATGGAGCTATATCTAAATCTCAAACGGTTTTTACGAAACTTGGCACACAACATTGTGGACTAAATTCGGTACGCTCTGCCAAATTTCGTGCAAATCGAAAGATATATAGGGACTATGGTGCACCATTTACAGGAAATCGGAGGAAACTATATATGGGAGCTATATCTAAATCTGGACCGATTTTTTTGAAACTTGACAGACATCACTCTAGGCTCAATTCAGTAAGTTATGCCAAACCATGTAAATGAAATCGGACCAAACTATATATGGGAGCTATATCTAAATCTGGACCGATTTTCATGAAACTTGGCAGACATCATTCTAGGCTCAATTCAGTACGTTACGCCAAATTTCGTGCATATCGAAAGATATATAGGGACAATGGTGCACCATTTACAGGAAATCGGACGAAACTATATATGGGAGCTATATCTAAATCTGGATCGATTTTCACGAAACTTGGCAGTCATCATTCTAGGCTCAATTCAGTACGTTATATATAGCGACTATGGTGCACCATTTACAGGAAATCGGAGGAGGTATATATGGGAGCTATATCTAAATCTGGACCGATTTTCTGGAAACATGGCAGACATCATTCTAGGCTCAATTCAGTACGTTATATATAGGGACTATGGTGCACCATTTACAGGAAATCGGAGGAAGTATATATGGGAGCTATATCTAAATCTAGACCGATTTTCACGAAACTAGGCAGACATCACTCTAGGCTCAATTCAGTACGTTATGCCAAATTTGGTGCAAATCGAAAGATATATAGGGACTTTGGGGCACCATTTACATGAAATCGGACGAAACTATATATGGGAGCTATATCTAAATCTGGACCGATTTTCTGGAAACTTGGCAGACATCATTCTAGGCTCAATTCAGTACGTTATATATAGGGACTATGGTGCACTATTTACAGGAAATCGGAGGAGGTATATATGGGAGCTATATCTAAATCTGGACCGATTTTCTGGAAACTTGGCAGACATCATTCTAGGCTCAATTCAGTACATTATATATAGGGACTATGGTGCACCATTTAAAGGAAATCGGAGGAAGTATATATGGGAGCCAGGGACGTACGCAGGTCACAGTAAATTTATGTTTGCAACAGCGAATTTTTTCATTTTGTACTACCGGAACCAAATCAAAAGGAATTATGGGTCTATCTCGTTTACCTGTTACAAACATATGCACAAAGACATAATACCCTGTACCACAGTGTGGCGAAAAAAAATCATCATGCTATAATTTAATTACTATACTCGTCAGGGGCTCCCATACTCACAAGGAAATTTCACTATGCAAATCTGAAACGATTTCACATGAAGTTTTCGACGAATATTTCCTGGTTATGTGAAATGACTAATTTAGTAACCACTACACCTTATTGTGGAGGGTATAATAAAACAGATATTCTCCTCACACTAATGGGTACAAGAAGCAACCTGTAATAATGTGTGGCACGAATCAAATATCTTTCAAGTCACAAAGAGCATATAAAAATGTTTTTAAATAACTTAAAACGTTTAGAAAAAAGAGTTCAAGGGCAAAAATTTCCCCAGAACGAAAACAAACCCAAATTCCAAGAATACAAAACTATTCTCTACTTTCTCCCCTCACACCTTGTGTTATATCCTGCCACAAAGACAATTCTTCTATAACTTCGTTATTTTTACCACACAAGATAAATTATGGGGGCAATTTCTACAAGTAATCTTTTTTGGATTTCCATTTTAAAAAGCTAAACAAATATCCAATTCAAATTCAAGTCACGTTTTTACTCCCTTTTTATTTCCACGAAATCAGACCTCAATTCAGTTCCCTCAGATAGAGAGAGAGAAAGAGAAAGAGAGGGGGCGACAGCAAACACATCATCATCATCGACAGCACAACATCTATTGTATAACATTAGTTATATCATCAATAGAGAAGAGGAAATCTATTTGTGAATAAAATTGAAATCAAAATGGAAAAACTGTTTTATAATGGCACAAAATTAAGTCAATTTGTAAATGTTAAATTAAGCAGATGAAATTGAAAAACCAAAAACAACTTTCAATTAATGTGTTACGTTTTCCTTGTTTCCTTGTTTTCTCCCCGCGTTTTTCTCCGAAAATATAGATTTGCCACGTGATGGACCGCACATAAAAGGCCAACAATTTCAATATCAAATTGGTGAAATATTAAATTTAAATTGCTCATCGGGAAAATCACATCCAGCATCACATTTACAATGGTTCATCAATGACCAGCCGGTAAGTGGTTTTTATTTACACACATACATATTTATATAAAATATTTATATAATATATAATTTCATATGAATGCTATTTTATTTTGTGCTATTATTTTTGAAAAATAATTTTGGAAAATGTATGCCAACAAAATTAATTTAATTGTAAAAATAAACAAATATATATTGGACATAATCAGTACACTATTATTATGATGCCATAAAAATATTATAGTGCAAGGGATACTCTAAAAATATAAGTACCAAATTTTCTATAAGTACGAATTTTCTAAACTACGTCAATCGTACACTCCAACAGTAATTTTAATTCCAAAATTCTGTAGTCCAGCTCTATCAGTTCACACATAATTATGTTGTACCAAATATAGTACCATTTAGTGCACATAAGTACTATACTTCCATATCACAATTCTACACTACAACAGCAACAACTATTCCAAATTTTAGGTTTTCAGATCTCTCGATTCACCCAAATCCTATTTGTAACAAATCTAGTGCCATTTAGTACTTTTCGTACACTTAAATACGAATTGCAGAACCTTTCTTTATAGTTCAATCATCAACAGTGATCTTAATTCCAAATTTCAGGCTTTCAGGTCTATTCGTTCACCCAAAATCCAAATTATACTTAATTTTGTACCATTTAGTACTTTTCGCAACCATATGTACGAATTCAGAATATAATTTTTGTCATCTTTCACACAAAAGTCTGGTTCCATTTCACCCGCTAAATATTGACCCATCTTTATCAAAACCGATATGCTTCTTCTTTGGCCTGATCCTCTTCTCCATTCAATTTTTTATGTGCAGGTCATAATTGTGGCCTCCAGAGCGACCAAAATAGACAAGAATAAAGTATTTGATCAATTCCATCCCCTAAATATTAACCGATCATTACCAAAAGCAATAGGGATATTCTTTGGCCAGAACCTTTCTTATATACAAAAATTTCCTGGAGATTGAATCATAACGGTGGCCTTTATCGTGTTTACAGATTATAATGGGCAGACGGACGGGCACACATGTCTAGATCCAATCAGCAAGTCAAGATATGACGATCGGAATATTAAAAGGTGGTAGGACCAATATTTGCGGGGTTACAAAATCTTGGGGCCACACAAAGCTATAATACGCTGACAACATATTTGTGTAGGGTTTAAATATTGACAATTTCTAGAGGAGGTACCAGAGAAAATTGATTCTTAGGGCTTAATTTCGGGATCGATCTAGGTTTACAAATTTTAAACTTTTGGTGGAAGTTCCATAAGGGTGGATTTAATAATGGGTGTATACTTAACATCCTCAAATCTTGTGTTACAAATACCTGAAACAAGCCAGGTCTCATATATGGAGTCCAGGTCAAAACGTGGACCTGCACTGTAAATTTTTTTTCATTTTTTTTTCTCAGAGAAATGCTTAATCACTGTTTATCGAACTGTAGAGAATATCCCTGGCTTTCAGACATCCGTAGAAAACGGTAAATCAATTTCACGGTTTTTTAAGGATAGGAATATTTTGCGTATGGATTTTGATTTACACATTTATAAGATAATACTGACTCTAGAACCATGAAACATTTAAATTGACGTACGTTCTCCGAGTTGGCTTTGGAATAGATGTGACAGAATTATTATTTTGATCACAATTCGATGCATTATTGTCATAGGGTAATCAACTTTTTTGTCAGCTATTGAAGAATGCAGGAAACCAAATACCTTCCTGGTAATCTGGTTCCCTGCAGACAATAGCAGCACGTAATGCGATGGAGAATTATCGGAAGAAAAGGAGACAAGAACAACCTGAACATGAGCAAATCGAGATGTAGAGAAGTCAGAATGAAGTCCGGAAATTTTAGCAACGAGTAAATATGAAGAAGGAATCCTGGTGACAGATACAGGTAGTGTGTTGAGGATCTGGAAGGATCATTTTGAAAAGCTTCTGGTATCAAATAGTGGCGGTGAGGAAGATTCTCCAGAAATAATAAAAAATGACCACCTAGCCAAGATGAGGTTAGAATATCAATTAATCCGCTGAAGAGTAATAAAGCACCAGGGTTACCAGCCGAACTATTCAATACTGGTGGTCAGATGCTGGTAAGGGGCATGCTCCAGCTCATTTGTACAATTTGGTTAGAGTGCTGTATGAAGGACTGAAGCCACCGGTCAATGAAATTTTTGGACCAATGCGGCTTCAGACCTGGCAAATCCACCATTGACTCTGCGGGAAAATCCTGGAAAAGACCCACAAAAAAACACATCGACACATTCCACCTATTCGTCGGCTAAAAAGCCACATATGACTGTCCTATCCGTTCAGAGGTGTTCAAAATCGTGTCTGTGTTCGGCAGTCCTGCAAAATTATTACGGCTATGCAGGATTATTTTAACTTGCACAAGGTCAGCAGTTAAAGTCGGAAAGGCCCTATCGTAGCCCTTCAATATCTAAAGAGGATTCAGAAAAGGTGACCGTTTTTCGTGTGATCGTTTTAACATCCTGCTGGAAGAGGTCATACAAGACGAAAAGGTGAACATAAATGACACTCTGTGCACCAAACAGAGTATGTTACTCGCCTACGCCGATGACATCGATATAATGGGTCGAAGATTGCGAGAGGTAGCAGCCACCTTTGAACAAATTGAGAAGGAGTCTGCCAAAGTGGGTCTGGCAGTAAATGGCGAGAAGACCAAGCTGATGGTGTCCAGTAGACTCGGACCAACAGTGGAACTTAAAAACTACAGCTTCGGTGTAGCCAAAGATTTGATATACCTTGGTGCCGTCGTAATTAAAACTAATGACATCAGTTTTGAAATTTTTGGAAGAAAAGTGTTGGCCAACAGAAGCTACTATGGTCTAAGTAATCAGTTAGAAACAAGGCCAAGTCTCGCCAGACCAAACTCACACTTTACAAGACGCTTATACTACCCGTGCTGAAGCATGGGTACTTGCGCAAGAAGATGAGGCAGTTCTTGAAGTGTTTGAGAGAAAAATTCTCCGAAATATACCAAAAGGAATGTACAAAAGATGTACATCCTTATGGTACCTTACCAAGCGAACAGAGTATTCGATTTGGTCTGTTTATTGTACAAATGTACAAATATAGATTAAATCGGAAGATGGGATTTATAGGACAAATGCTCCTGGTACCACACTACTGATCAACTCTTTAATAAAAAAAACATATGCATTGGATGAAGCCAATAGAGAATAACCTTTGCAGACCCTAATTATTATACGAACAATGTATTTTATGCAATTATTGGCTGTGAAATTGGAAAATTACTTATGGGGATGAAATTCCCAAAGCTGCGTTTTTATTGAATACTAGCATATGCCCGTTACTTCGTTAGCGAATGTGGGAAATACTTAAGCATGTATTAACATATTATTTTATTTTCACAGAAAACAGAATATGTCAGAAAAACTAAACAATCCAGACATTAATATCGACCATATGTTTAATTTGAATACCAAATTTCACGAATCGAGCTCTAAAGGTTCACCCAGATCCAAATATTACCAAATTTAGTTCCATTTGGCAAATATTATTTCCATAAGTACCCACCTCCATCATCCAACAAAACTTCCTGCATACTCCGATCCTACACGCCACAAAAATTTCAAATTTCAGGATTTCAACCCTACCGGTTCACCCACAATTCAAATTGTATTATATTTAGTACGCTTACTACTGCGTTTCCAAAACTTCCTACTTAACCCAAACCTTCACCCCACAGTGAACCTAAAATCAAGTTTCAGATTTCCAACTCTGTCGGTTCACCCACAATTCAAATTGTACTAAATTTAGTACATAGAAGTACCAATTTCCAAAACTTCCAACAGAACCCCATCCTACACCTCCACAGTGCTCCTAAATCAAAATGTCAGGATTCCAGCTTTATCGGTACACCCACAATACAAATTGTACCAAATTTAGTACACAGTAGTACGAATATCCAAAATTTCCTACTTAACCCAAACCAACACCCGACAGTGATCCTAAATCTAAGTTTCAGGATTCAAACTCTACCGGTTCACCCACAATTCAAATTGTACCAAATTTGGTACACATTAGTTCAAATTTCCAAAACTTCCTACATACCCCAATCATACACCCCCACAGTGGCCCTTATTCCATGTTTTAGGATTCCAACTTTATCGGTTCACCCACAATTCAATTTGTACTAAATTTAGTACATAGTAGTACCAATTTCCAAATCTTTCTCCACAGTGTTCATAAATCAAAAGTTCACGATTCCAACTCTTTCGGTTCACCCAAAAAATCAAATCGTACTAAATTTAGTACATAGTAGTACCAATTTCCAATTTCCCCAATCCTACACCCACATAGTGATCCTAAATCCAAGTTTCAGGATTCCAACTCTATCGGTTCACTCACAATTCAAATTGTACCAAAGGTAGTACAAGGATTCCAGCTCGATTTGTACCTCCAAATCAAATTTGTACCAAATATAGTACCATATAGAACTTTTCGTACACATAAGTACACGCTTTCCTAAATCTCCTCATATCGACCCTAATCCTCAACCTTAATTTGCATTCCAAATTTCAAGTTTTTAGCTCAATCCATTCACATGCTACGAAATTTTACCAAATTTAGTACATTTCTGTACTTTTCCGATACTTATAGTTCGAATTTCCAAAAAGTCCTTTGCTACATCTTTTCTACACTCCATCAGTGACCCTCAATCCAAATTTCAGATTTCTAGCCCTACTGGTTCGCCAAATACAAATTATACCATATTTAGTACTTTTTAGTACTTTTCGTACGGTTCTAGTACGAACTTCCAACAACCCAGCCTTATCTGTCACCTTTGGACCAAGAGTGACACTCACCCAAAATGTCAAGATTCCAGCTTCAGCCGTTTCGTCTGGGCGTTGATGAATCGTTAAATCAGTCAGTCAGTCAATCACTTTACTCTTTTGTTAGTATAGATTCAATTTGTACCAAATACAGTACACATGAGTAAGTGCATTCAAAACC